ATACATGTATATAATATGAAATGATCAAATCAAGGTAATTTGCATCTCCTTCTATATTTATCACTGCTTTGTGATGGGAAACTTCAAATGCCTTTCTTGTAGTTCTCTATCTATCTGTCTGTCTGTCTGTCTGTCTGTCTATCTATCTATCTATCTATCTTTCTTTCTTTCTTTCTATCTATCTAATAAATTGTTGGAAAGTATAGCACCCTACCTCAGTGACCACATAGACCAACCTGGTCCTCTTTCCCCCTCTTTCTCAGACTATCTCCATCCTTTTACCAGTCTCTCCTCACCCCATTTCCCTGCCTGAGTCTCCTCCACCTTGGTCTGCCCTCCTTCCACTACCTGCCTTTTTTCTGTCCCTCTCCCTTCAATTTGCTATCTCATGACTTGTCCCCCTATTCTCCCACCTCCATCCCTTTACCTCTGCCATTCCTCATCACCATACTTCTTCCCCAAGCCACATGATCCAGACCCAGATAGATACTAGGACATACTCCCACCATCTCTTCACCAGGCCTGGGAGTTCTTCAGTTCCTTGTGGATGGGGCATTTGGCTGATCTCAGATCTCCTAGGGATGTCATACCCAGCATCCTGGTGACCTAGTGAACATGGGGGACACTGGATGATGATCCACAATCATACAACCTGGAAGCACACCTTCTTCAATCAAGGGTCTCTTTCTTAGTATTGGGACCATGTCTTGATCTTCTTGCTGCCTGAATCTAGTGTGTCTCTCCATTCCCATTCCTTACTTCAAGTATGAATGAGAACTTACTGCTTTTATTTAAGGAACTTCATGGAGGAGGAAAGCTTAGGGAAAAATCACAGATGCACTCTGAATTCTGATCATCTCTATTGATCTCAATGTTTACGTTATATACACACAGGAAAATAAAAGGACACAAACAATAACTTTCTAACCCTGCAGAGAGATAAGCCTGGAAGTACATGGTAAATGCAGTTCTTTATTCACTTTTAACCCATTTCCTATTTCTTCTTACTTCATTAAAAAAAAAACATTTTGTTATGTGTGTAGGAATTTGTTGTTGTTGCTCTTGCTTGTTTCATTACTAAGGATTGAACCCAGAGTCTTTGCACCAACCTATAAGCCTAGCCCTTCCTTTATTTTTTTTTTGAAACAAGGTCTCACTAAGTCATTGAGTTACCCAGGCAGTGCTTGAACTTGAAGTGTTCCTCCCTCAGCCTCCTGCAGTGCTGAGACTATATGTATGTGCCACCATACCTGGTGTGTGGATTTTTATACAATATATAGTGTTTGTGGCTGCAATTTCAGTTCTGTGCATATTATGCTCTAGACTTCATTTTACTCCCTTTTCCCCACCCTTCTATTTTTAAGATCTGGCTGTATGCATACATGCTATCTGTGTTTCTTGTTTCTGACCTGTATGCTTAAAATGTGTCCTCCAGATTGTACATATACCCATTTCCCCAGGGACAGAACAATATCTAGATGACTTCTCTACCACTAGGATCGATTCTGAATCAACTGTGCTGACCCAGGCCCACTTCTGATACCATAGGAGAGCTTTCTCAAGTAGCTCCCTCACGCTGGGAGTGCTGGCTTAATGGCTGCTCCAAGCCTGCCCTCTACCACTCACACACCAGTGTTCTCACTGAGTTGAGAAAGCCTTCATCTCAGGTCAGTTCAGTAAGATCTATTTGGGTATTGTCATGTCTGGAAAGGGAAGGGATTTTATCAAACTTACAGAAGAACTGGTTTTCCTGAGGTGAGGTGAAGATTTTCATACCTAGTTTATATTTTACAGATTTCCATAGACTAAGTAGATGTTCTCACCAGTCTATTGAGGTTTGAGGCAAACAGATGCTCGTACAAATTAAGACATAAACTCTCCACCTTATGCCACCACAGTAAGCATTAGCTAACAAGTTACTGTCTGCATTAGGTTTTACTTATAAAGGACCTGCTGGCCTCACTTCCTCTGCAGCCTCTTTACAGCTTGTTGCTGTTATGTATCACTCCACAGTGCCCCACACTTCCAGAAGCAGATGGGACTTTAACCAAGTTCCTTTTCTTTAAGAAGGTTGCAGGCAGACGCTGGTAAGATAGCTCAGTGGTCTAAGCACCTGCCTGATGAGTGCAAGCACCCGGGTTCAATCCCCAGCACCATATGCCATGCCAGCCCCAGGGCCCCTGGTGCCAAGCCAGCCACCAAAATGGGGCGTGGTGGTGCACACCTGTATCCCAGTGCTGGGGAGGCTAAGACAGGATGATCACTATGAGTCTGAACTGCATAGTAAGACCCTGTGTCAAATAAATAAGTGAATGAATTCTAAAAGCAAATTTAAAAAATAAGATTGCTCTTTCTTCACCCCTTATCCGTGCTTGGTCAGTCAGCGGACTTGAAGGGAACCACCTTTTGTAATTATGCTCTCATACCATCTGGGTCCCTGGCCAAACTGTGAAAGATGTGAAGCCAGTAAGGACTGAGCTAGAGGAGAATTCAGGATCTAACCCTGAGAGAAATCATGGTTGAATTTCCTGAGCAACCTCGTTCCAGGGGTACCACCTCATCTCTATCCTGATTATAATCTGGAATAAGCATCTTCTCTCATCATAAGGTCTTTCCCACTTGCAGAATCCACCTGCTGAATAAAAGGGAAGGCTTCCAAGTCTCCCATGAAAGCCGTGACAATTTCAAATATCCCTGCCCCAGAAGTTATAAGGTAGCAGGGTCAAGAAGGGGATGGTGGGCTCCTACACAAAGATACACATTTGATGTTTCACATTTCATTTTAAAACTAGATGTTTTTAAGTTTAGAAAAAATTTTTACTGAAAAATTACAAAGGTGGAAGAGAGTTTCCTTGTACCATACTTTGCCCTGTTACTAGCATCTTACTTTTTTTTTTTTTTTTTTTTTTTTTTCTTTTTGAGACAGGGTCTTGCTATGCAGTTCAGGTTGGCCTTGAGTCCACTTTGTAGCCCAGGCTGGTCTCAAACTCGCAATAATCTTCCTGCCTCAGTCTCCCAAGTGCTAAAATTACAGGTGTGTACCACCACACCTAGCCATCTTACATTAATTATGATGCTTTATATTTGTTACATTATTTAAGCAATACTGATTAGCTGAACATTTTTATTAACTAAAATCCATACTTGATTTCCCTAATTTTGATGCAGTGCCCTTTCTTCTATTCCAGACCTTTAGTTGTCTCCTTAGGCTTCTTTTGGCTGGGGCAGTTTCTCCCACTTACCTTGATTTAAGAAATAATATTATTGAGGCATAATTTGTACAAAATAAAATGCACTCATTTTAAGTTATAGTCTGGTACATTTTAAAGAATGTATGCACCCACGTGCCCACCACCACAATCCAGACACAGAATATCTTCATCATTCCCCAAATTCCTTTGTAATGCTTTATAGTTAATATCTCCACCCACCCCAGATCCTCAGGCAACACTATTTGATATTTTGTCCAACACTATTTGATATTAAGCTTGCATGTTCTAGAATTTCGTTATTTACCTTTTGATTTCTTTCAGTTACTGGTTTTGTGATTCTTTTGGGCTGTGGTATATTGCCAGATGTGCTGAGTAGTGCTCGGTTATACTAATATGCCGCAGACTTTCCCCACTGCACCAGAGGAAGACGTGACACTTACCTCAACGCTGCCTCTCAACTCCCAACCAACCTATCATTCACCTATTGTGTGGTGGGTCACCGCCTTTAGTTTCTCCTTTCTGTGAGAACAGCATTGAGCTGTGCCAGTAGATGGCGCTGGAGGGCCACTCCCCGTGGAAGGAACGTCTCTTCCTGGTTCTATGGTACTGTATTTTAGTTTTCTTTTATCTACTGTACTTCTGCCAGAGACGCGTACGTAGGGACAGGCGCTGTGCCGCGCAAATTGGTACAGCTCTCCCAGTGAGGACCGCACTGCCTGCACTGCCTGGATGGTGGCTGGGCCCTGATGCCCAAAGTCCCAATATATGCCCACCGTCAGCTCTCCTGGCCATTTTCCTAGGGGGTTGCTTTCAGGTGTCCTCCACGCTTCCCAGGCTTGGTACCATTCTGCCTGCACTGCTGCTCTGACTCTTTCTGCCTCTTTCATATACTGCCTGCTAGTCTGCACCCACAGGCTGTACCTGTACCCACAGTATTTCCCACTCACCAGGAGAACCTAGGCCGGTTGTAGCCTAGGAAACCCAGCATGCTTTTTCCTATCACATGGCACATTTCTTTCTTTTTCTTTCTTTCTTTCTTTCTTTCTTTCTTTCTTTCTTTCTTTCTTTCTTTCTTTTTCTGTATTTAGGACAGGGTGTACAGGGTCTCATTGCGTGGATGGGACTCGTAGTGATCTTCCTGTTTTCAGCCTCCCAAGTGCTGGGATTACAGGTGCACGCCACCACACTAGTCTCATCAGCGCAGGGCAGGAGCAGCGGGGAGCACACACGGCAGGCCTAGCGATCGCACCCCCAGCCCCTGTGCCTGCCTAAACAGGCGCTTTAATCCGCTGAGCTATTTGGCCGGCCCTTTCACATGGCACGTTCTAACAAGGCTTAAATATAGTTTTAGGGAGAGGCTCCCTTCCAATTATTGCTTCTTTGGGTAGTCTCCTTCAGCTTAAGGACACACTTTAGAGTTCTTACACCTTCATAGCTACTACCATGCTAGAGGTAAATCATTTTATAAAAATTTCTTGTTCAAATAACTGTGCGGTTACAGTATTCAAATGCAAACCTATCAGACACATTACACTTTTGTACTGTTTCTAATTTGGGGCTAAAATGAAGGAAGCTGCCATGATCTGTATTGTCTTTGGGTGGACATGTATTGTCATCTTTCCTGATAAGTAAGTAGGGGTGGGACTGTGGGTCTTGTGATGTGTTTACCTTTATAAGAAATTCTATAGACAGTAGGATGTCAGTTCAGGCTTCTGAACTGGAAACTTCCTTCTGGTAACGAGGAAAGAGTGGTGACCACCCGGCGTGGAAGCTGCAGCAGGTTTAAAAATGGGTGATGTTGAGACAGGCAAGAATATTTTTGTACAAAAGTGTGCCCAGTGCCACACTGCTGAGGAGAGAAGCAAGCACAAGACCTGGCGGAATCTCCATGGTTTCTTTGAGGGGAAGACAGGTCAGGCTGCTGGATTCTCTTACACAGATGCCAACAAGAGCAAAGGTATCACCTGGGGAGAGGACACACTGATGGAGTATTTGGAGACTCCCAAGAAGTACATCCCTGGAACAAAAATGATCTTTGCTGGCATCAAGGAGAAGGGAAAGAGGGCAGACTTACTAGCTTACCTCAAAAAGGATACTAATGAGTAATAGTCACTGCCTTATTTATTACAGAACAGAAATGTCTCATGGCTTTTGTATGTGTACCATACTTTAATAGATCTCATCTGCCAGAATTCAGAACATGAGTGGCTGACAGAATGTTTTTGTTGGACAGTCTGATCTAAGTAAAATTGGCTTGTAGTTAAATGGATATCTTTTTTTTTTCTTCTCCTTCTTCTCCTTCTCCTTCTCCTTCTCCTTCTCCTTCTCCTTCTCCTTCTCCTTCTCCTTCTTCTTCTTCTTCTTCAGGTTTTGATAGTAATTCCAGTTCGGAAAATACTACCACTGTTTTCCCTTCTAAGTGTGTGGTTGGACTTGATTAGTAATGTTTGACTTATCACAAAGATTGAGAATGTCATCCCAAAATTACTTAAGGTTGGTTTTATATTTTGGTTTATATCACTGGTTATGTGAGCATGTTTAAATACTGGGAGAATCCATCATCTCAAAACCAAGCAAGACTCCCCTGTTTTCAATTTGTGTTTATTAGCCTGTTAAAGGAGTGAAGACAAGAAAGCTATGTCTATATTTTTGGTCTTGACTATGCTGATTTAATTAGAATTCCTTGTATCTAAAAAGTGCTGCCTTTTACTTACGGGAAAGCATTCTGGTGTGGGGTATGTATACCAGATAAAGAATATTTAACATTTCTTTAAAAAAAGAATTCTCCAAGTGTTCTCCAAAGTCATTATACCATTTTGTAACTGTCTTGTACCATTTTGTAACTCTCTTGAAGATGCTATTCCATAGGCCATCAGTGCTTGACAGTAATTACACCTGGGCAGCCTGGTGTAGATGCTGTAGGTGGATGGCAATGAGACTCTTCTCATATGCTTATTGGTAATTGTGTATTTGTCTTGTAATGCCCAAATTTTTTGCACATTTGTATTTCATTTGCCTTATTAAATTGTCATTTTCTTGTGAGCCTTAATGGTGCCTTTTAAAAACTTTTTATGAAATTCAATTGATCTTTATACTTTAGTTTTAGGGTTAGTACCTTTTATATACTAAAATATTGTTTTGTTTTTCAGCACTGAGGATTAAACCCTGGGCTTACTTGCTGAGCAACGTCCCCAGTCGTTTATTACTTTTTAATTTGAGAGTCTAAGTTGCCAACCCAGGCTAAAATTTGTGATCCTCCTGCCCCTGCCTCCCAGAGCACTGAGATTACAGGTGTGAATCACAATACCTGGCTTAGGTTAATTTTTCTACATAGTGTGAAGTAAGGATCAAAATTCATATTTTTTCTATTCAAATACAGGTATCTTCAGGGAATCTATTCCAGAACTCTCTGTAGATACCCAAATCTGCAGATGCTGAAGTCCCTTATATAAAGTTGTGTGGTATTTTTATATAACCTACATAAACCCTAAATCAGCTCTGGATTGCTTGTCATACCTAATATAAGGTAATTGCTATTTCAATGCTTGTTACACTGTATTATTTAGATAATGACAAGGGAGAAGTCTGTATAATTTAGTGCAGAGGTACTTTTTTTAAAATTTCCAACCTATGGTTGGTTAAAACTGTATGCATGATGCGCAGATATAAAGGGCCAACTATACACAGTTGTAGCACCATTTGTTGAAAAAAAATCATTGACTGATTTTGGTGCCTGTCAGAATTCAATTGGTCATGTGTACGTCTATTGTTACAGCATGTTCTGTTTCAGTTCCATATTTACTTTATAGTAAATCTTGCAACCAGGTAACCTAAGTCTTCCAATTCCATTCTTGTTTTTCAGAATTGCTTTAATTACTCAAGGTTCTTTGCATTTCCAAGTAACTTTTACTATAAGCATGTCAGTTGATACAAAAATCCTGGTGGGATCTTTATTGAAAATACATCAAATTTAGAGATCAGTGTGTGAAGAACTGGTATCTTGATAATGTTTTGTCTTTCAATACATGGACGTATAACTCTCCATATACTTAGATAGTCTTTAATTTCTCTCAACAGTGTTTTGTATTTTTCAGTGTATAGTTCTTATATTGTGCATGTACACTTCACATTCTGGGTCAATGGCAAATTTATTAGCTCTAGGTTTTCTTTTTTCCTTAGATATTATCTGTGTATAAAATCATACCTTAATAGAGACATCATGTCTTCTATTTTAATCTATAGATTTTTCTTATCTTGCCCTGTTTAATTGACTAGAACTGTTGGTATAAGATTGAGTAGGAGAAGAGCAGACTCTCTTTTCTTATTCCTGATCTTAGAGGAAAAGTGCCCAGTTTCCACCATTATATAGGCTAATCTTAAATTTTTCATATACGCACTCTATGAGGCTAAAGTTCTTTTTTATTCCTAATTTTCTGAGTCTTTTAAAATCAAACATGAATATAGGATTTGGTCAGATTATTTTTATGCATCTTTTGAGATGATTATATAGCATTCTTCTTGCTTTCAATTTATCTTATCATTCTTCATTGTTTTCCTTTTTCCTTACCATCTTTTGGATTATGTATTTTTAGCATTATCTCCACTGTTAAATTTTTGTTTTTTACTATTTAATTTTTAGTGTTTACTTAAGCATCATTAATCTCAGTCTACTATCTAATGATAATACTCCAAGTATAATGTAAAAAGCTTACATAATATACTTCCATCTCCCCATCCCATTCTCTGTGCAATAACTGTTATATACCTTAAGGCTTCTATATAAGCTTTTTAATTCCCCTTACATAGGTTTTACATGCTGTAATTGTAAATGATTATTAATTATGATTTAAGTAGTCATAAGAACTTAACTAAGAAGTATTTCATATTTGGACATGTAGTACTTTTGGTCTTCTACACTATTTATATAGCTCTTAATTACCATCTAGTAGCATTTTCCTTCAGGCTGAATAATATTTCTCAAAGTAGAAAGTTGATGGTCACACATTCTCTCAACTCAACCTCAGTCCTAACCAATCTATTTTTTGTTTCTGTATATTTGCCTTTTGTGGATATTTTATATAAATAGAATCATATAGTATCTGACTTTTTTGTGTGTGACTGGTTTCTTTCATTGAGCATAATGTATTTGAGGCCATGTAGCATCTGCTTGACTGTGTATTGTTAAATAGTATTGCATTGTATGTACATGTCACAGATTTTATTTACCTACTTATTTGTTGATACACACTTGGGCTGTTTCCACTTCCTGTGGTGTAAGTTTCTGTGTGGATATATGTTTTCAACTATCTTTTGTATACACATAAGAGAACTGCTAGGTCTAGTGGTACCTGGACATTTAAGCTTTTGAGGAAGTGCCTGGTTTTTATGGTGGTTGTATCATTTTACATTTCCAAAAGGTTTCAGTTTCCACCACTTACCTGTGTTCTTTTATATGATTATAGTCACCCTAAAGGATGTAAAATAGTATCTTATGCTTTTGATTTGCATTTCCTGATAGCTAGCGGACATTTTTTCATAGGCTCATTGGCCATGTCTATACTCCTTTGGAGAAATATCAGTTCAAATCCTTTGTCCACTTTTAAATTGAGATATTTGTCTATTCATGATTGAGTTGTAAATGTTCTTTATGGAAGCAATAGGGGAAAAATCTATTTCCTCACCTCCTCCAGTTTCTGGAGGCTGTCCACATTTCTTGGCTTGTGCCCACACTCATCCATCTTCAAAGTCATTACCAAAGCATCTCTTTGACCACAGCTGGAAAGGATTTTCCACATTTAAAGGCCCAAAAGATGAGGGTGGGCCTTTATAATTATTTCAAATAGTTTATGATAATCTCCCTATCTCAAAACCCTTAATTGAATCATATCTGCAAAATCCCTTTTGCTACCTAAACAACACACTCACAGGTTTGGGGATTAGCATGTGGCCAGCTTTAGGAGCTGTTATTCTCCCTATCTCATTGTAGTGAGTTCTTAAAGTGCCAATTGAAATTTTAATGAAAATACGCTGAGTTTATAGATTTAGGAAGAATTACTATCTTTACCTCAAACTGTCTCAGCTAAGAATAGGAATTTCCATTTATTCAGGTCACTAAATTTAGAGTTTCAAAGTTTTCTTCAAGAGGTCTTACATAGTCTCAAATAACCACTAGACACTCTTTGATTTTTATTGCTATTATTGGTGTGTTTATTATTTAATAGTTTAGCTGTTTTACAAAAATGCAGTTGATTTACATCCAACAACCTTGCTGAATGCTCTTATTCTAATAATTGGTACTTTTTAAAAATTAGGTTACCAAATTATCTATAAATGAATTTTTTCTACTTCAATATTTATATTTTTTTTCTTTTTTATAGCACTGCACAGTATTTCCAAAACTATGTAAAATGGTAGCAGTGATTATTTGCCTCCTTGTACTTACAGAGAGTATCAGAGGCCACCTGGACTACATCATGAGTTCAAGGCCAGTCTGAACTGCATAGCAAGACCTTGTCTCAAAAAAACAAAAGAGAGAAAGAGTATGTTTTGCCATAATATTTGCTGTAAGTTTGGGAGTATATGACCTTTATCAAATTAAGAAAGTTATATTCTGTTTGCTAAGAGTTTTTATCATGAGTCAAGGAGGACAAGGGGAGTTCCAAGGATCAATTATTGTAGTTCACAGCACTAGAGCTCAACTGCTAATGTTTACTGCTAATATGAGTTGTGGCTGAATTTAGCAAGGCTGAGCCAGCCAACTGCCTGAGCAGGGCCTTCCCCTAATCTTACCTTTCTCTCTACTTGGGCAACTCTTGTAGAGCCTGTGGGACTAGAAGATTTTGAGGAGCAGCAGGCAGGGATCCTGGGATCCTCAGCTGTGCAGCTCTTTGGGCCACTTCTAGAATTTTGCTGTAACAGTAGAGCTCCTCAGATAGAGATCAGAGGCCAGGGTCATATCTTTTATGCCTTTTTCTGAGATATACTGCTGCCCCAGGCAAGTATCTCTGCTCCCTTTCTCTTAATTCTCCTAGAATTAAGAACTGTCTTCAAAGAGCAACACAGAGGCCCAATTTCAAATGAACTTTAATCATTTTTTGCTGCCCAAATACTGTACATGCAGAAGCCGTGTGAAGAATTTTCTTCTTAAGGGAATTGGCAAGAACATTGTATAAAACAGCCAGCAGTCCCTCCCAGCTGTCCCCCTGCCACCCAGGAACCAGAGTTTGGAAAGATGCTGCACATAGAAAATTCAGAGAACACAGATATAAAAGGCTAATTGCTTTTTATCTAAACAGTGTGCTTGTCAGTCCCTAACTGCTAATCTCTCTTTTTGCAGGATGCATTTGGAACTTCTAAAAAAAGGGTTTCCTGCCTTTTGTGAGTTTATATACTAAAGGAGTTGACAGAACTCTCAGGCCTGTTTTCCTTGAGGAAGCAGCCACTGATTTCTGAGATAATGTCTGGTAAAACATTTTTGAGAGAAGAATGGTTTTAAAAAGCAAAATATTTGGATAGGAAATCAGTTCCCTCTCTCCTGCCACCTGAGGGTGTATTCTTTAACATTCTCAGATCTTCCGTTCTTCCCATTGCTGTCATGTAAAAGTAGAAATAATGAACAGCTCAGCCTCATCTGCTGGTAGGGACACAGACCCTACTTAGGATGCAGCTGAGGCAGTGACATCACATCAGCACCTTGAAAAGTGTTCACTGCAGACTACCCTTAATTATTTCTCATGCTGATGCAAGAGTAAAGGAGAGAGAAAAAACTAAGAAGAGGTGAAAGCAGAGTATTACAGGATTCCCAGAGTTGTTAGAGGCAGCATCTGGGCACAGATCAGATGAGGACCTAGGCCTAGCTTGGGCACCAGGCGCTGGATAAAACCAGCCTATGGAACCATGTGCTAGGTGCACCCAGCTCGCAGTGCTTAGCAGCTCCAGATCAAACTTCTAAAACCTGGAGGGAACAATGGACAACTAGCTAATGCTCAGATTTTGCAGATGAGGAAGCTGAGGCCCCAAAAAGTGAGTAGTCGTACAAGATCACAGTTTCTGGCAAAATGGCATAGAACAACCATCCCTGTCCAGGTCACTGGCTAAGAGGACAGATGCTCAGTTGTCCCTGGAATTCCCAGGCCCCTTTTCTGTTATCCAGGTGGTCTGGAATCTAGTCCAAGGGGCCCTTCCTGGCATCAGTGTGAACTTCTTGGGAGTTCCAAGGCCCTCTCCTTACTGGCCAGGTTTTCAGCAATGGCCCTGGAAGGCCTCTCCAAAGCGTTAACACTCATGCTTCTCAAAGAGCACCTTCCCAAGCTAGTCTAGGCCCGTAGGAGAGTGCAAGTTTCTTTTACTCATGTGGTTTCCTGCATAGGCACAGCCATGCTGGGCCTGCAGAATCCCAAGCTTGGGATGGGGGTGGGGGGATTGCTTTGCTACATGGAAAAATTAAGCCCTTTGTCAGAGAACATGGTCCCAGCCTTGGGCTTCCCAACACATCTGAGCTGCATTTCTGCAGCTCCCCCAGAATTGGTACCCAAGGAGGCCAAGTCGCTCTCTTTGGCATCACTGACATTGCTCTGAGATGCTCAGGCACTCTGTCAAAATAACCTTTTCCAAGCCAGACCAGGCCAACTCCACCACTATCAGGCTGCTTCTGATGGTGCGGGGCTCCCCTGCTCTTCCAATGTGATTGTTCCAATTTGTCCCATTCTCTGATGAGACCAGACTCGAGAGAAGTCAGAGGATGATCTACGTTTTCATCTCCTCCTTGATCATCCAGCAAAAGACAATCTAGTAGAAGGAGCAACATTTTAAAGAACCTTCGTGTATTCCAGGACATTGGAGAAGACAACTGTGAGGAGAGGAAGAGAAAGGAAGGAGAAGGCAGGGAAGCAGGCCTCTTTTCCACTTCCTGGCAGCCACAGCAGAAATATGGCCAGACAATCTTCTGGCCCTGGATGCAGCGCCACCTTTCCCCCACCCAGGTGGAGAGCAACTCATCTACAACATCAGGCAAAGGCAGCAGTTTCTTGCCCAGAGTTTGCACAGTGCTGGAAGCAATCAGAAAAGCACAAAAGAGCAGCTTTACTTAGGTCCTGCTGCTTTCTGAACCAAGGGCGATGGGGAATGTGAGGTATTAGGAGCTCCAGAGCCCCAGGGGAAGAGGAGCTTGGTGCCCTCAGGGCAGCAGGGCCTGGTGTGGGGCAGCAGGGCCAAGCTTAGCTCCACAGGATGCCGGCAGAGCTCCTGGTAATGCAGTCTAGGCTTGTGCTACATTTCATTTCCAAAGAAGTACCCTTGCAGCTCTGTTGTCTTTAAAAATAGAGGCTCTTGCTCTTGAGGCTGGCAGTAAAGAAGAGCTCAGTCACATTTTCCTGGTGGGAGTCAAGCTCCTGGAAGAGCTGGCTTTACCTCAGTGTTCCGGCTGGCAGTGGTTCCATGAGTGAGAAGTGATCCAGGGCCCTTTCTCTGGAGCCCTCCTTGATCCTGTCTCAGCCCCATTAAATGCTGGCATTGCAGGGGACCTGTGGGATCCCAACAGCCTTGCAAGTTCTCCTTTCCTAGTAGAAGTGGGTGGCAGAGAGACTGGATGGGGAGTACTCTCAAAGAGTGTTCACATCACCCTTGTCAAAACAAGACTTGACCCATCCCAATACTGGAGCCCGCTGCATACTAAGGGCCCTTTCCAGATTTCCCTGTAGAAAATGAGTCTATGAAGAAAGTGGGGCAAACTAAGCTGAGCAGAAATGCGAAGACAGATGCTCTGAATCATCCATCATTGTCCCTGCCCACAGTCCAGCATCACTGTAGGGGCACTTCTTTCTCTGCTACATCACTGATGAATCCTGCCTGCCCAGAGGAGATGGCATGACAAAAAGCCCTGTGCTGCCACCACTGCTAGCTTCCATCTGGGATAAGGGACATGTAACTTAGCCCCATGGTAGGGAAACTCAGAAGGATTATGTTCCTTCCTTTCCACCACCCTCTCCCAGCCCATATGAGGCCAGAATCAACACGTGAACCCCTCTCTTCTAGGACAGGTTAGCTCCAGAGTGGCTTTTCAGCAAGCCCTGCATCTAGGATGCAAAGAAATAGATCCCTGAATCTGGCCACACTCGTACACACAAGGCCACCTCACACAACCTCACTCTTGTGGGGGGCAGGGGGGTGTCTGCTCTAGTAACTTATTTGATGCAAAGGGTTAAAAATTCCCAAGGTCAATTTGCAGGGAATTAACATCTACTAAGAAGTGGACTGGCCAAGTGGCCCAACTCCCAGGCATTTTTCACAGCTGGGGACTAGAGGCAGGGCAGTCCAAGTTTCCAGCATATTGGGCCCCTCCCCTTCCTAGAACTTTTCTTGTGCTGACCCTAGGCACAAGGACATGATGGTCCAGGGCTACACAGGACAGCCTTTCTGCTGGCATCTCCCACCTTCCCCCAGGGCCTTCCTGGACCCATAGGGGCATGCGGGTGCTGACAGCCCCATTTCCTGAGGGTGACTCAGTGCCACATGAGCCAGTCTATGCTATCTGTGGATCACTCACACTCCCCCCACCACTCCAGGTGTATTTTCAGAACATCCAGAATGCAACTGCCCTAGAGGTAAACACACCACAAATAGAAGAGGAAAAACACCCTTTTGCAAGTGAGTTTCCTCCCTGTACTGTATTTCTCCCACTAGGGTTAAAGAGTTCAAAACCCTCTGCCCCATTTTTAGGAACAAAGGAAACAGACATCTCCCAGCGAGAGTGGGGAGAGGACTTTTTCCCAAAGAAGAAACTGGATGGCCACCTCCTCACTCTCCTCTATGCATACTGGGGCTCCTTCCAAAAATGCAAGAATCCAGGCTCAGCCCAGAGATAGACTATTGTACATTTCCTTCCTGCCCTTACCCACTTTTGTGGTGGGTAAAACCAGTGGGTCTTGGCTTCTTTCCCTCATCCCCTTGTGAGGTAGATCACAAGACTCTGGCTTCCACATAGTTGAGGATCCTTGCCAGAAAAGGAGGCCCTTGGACCGAGATGGCCTTTCCCCTTCCAGCTTTAGAATGACTGAAAGCTCAGCACTCGGGCCTGAGGCCCTTCACTGCTACGTCAGTAGCTCTCTCCAGCCAGTGTGCACAGGCAAGAAGTACATGAGCACTTGGGCACAGTAGCTGTAGAAGCAGCAGAAAGGCAGCCTTTCCCATATCATGGTCCCTCCTGCTACCTACTGCCTACCAACCTTGAACCCAGAGCTGCTCTGTCCATCCCCCGGGAAGCCTCTCACCCTCCACCCTAGAGTTGAGGAGAGAGGACAGATGTGGCATTCCTGAGCCAGACTTCAGATGGGACATCTCCCAGGGTCCATCCGGGCCCTGGTTCTCACAACAGGGCCTAGCAGTCAATTTGGTGTCTGAGTAGCTAAAAGAAGCCTCACACAGCGTAGGAAATAAAGCAGAGGCAATTGGTGTGCCCAGAGCAGGCCATTTCCCAGAGGGCAGTGGGAGCATATGAGAAGGCAAGGAAGCTAAGAGGGAAAGTATTGCTTATACAGAGCTGGTGACTGGGCAGACCAGAGTCCAGAGCCAGGCTGCTCATGGAGCCAGGAGGCTAAAGCCCAAGTATGTCTGAACTCCAGACAGGGACCCTGGTCTGGAAATGAGCAAAAAATAAGAGCCCCCAGTGAACAGCTTCATGCAGCTAATTCCCAAAGGTCAGGCAGATTCTCAGCAGTCAGCCTCAGCATTTCTTATTCTAGCAAACATCCCTACCCTCAGCATCTCTTGCCAAGCCATGTGCCCCTAAGGAGGAGCCCAGGGTGGGATGGGCCACTCTTGGAGTCTAGGGAAGGCAACATCTCCATGGACTCCTGGGTCTACCAAGAGAGCTCCTTCGGCATCTCAGAGGAGAGAAGGCTGGGAAAAAGGAGGTGACAAATGAAAGCCAAGGGAGCACCTGGCCCTTCCTGCTGGGGGTTCTGGCCAGTACCCCTGGGAACTAAGGAGTACTTGCCTGTACCTCCTTGTACTTGCCTGTAGAAAGAAGGTGTGTCTAGCCCAAGGAAAAAGCCATTCCAAAGCCCTCTGCTCCCTGGGCATCTTCAGCCACCCCTGGGTCCCTAGCTAAGGTGCTGGATGACTGCTACATGCTGCAAGATGTGTTCAGTGGGGAGAGCTGCCAGAGCAGCTGGGATGGGGTGTGGGGGCTCCCAGGAGGGCATAGTTATGGCCAGCTGCAGTGGATGCTACATTCCTCAAAAAAGAGCAGCAATGCTGGGAGAGGTAAAGGGTGTACAAAAGACAAGACAAAAACCTAAGCGAAGATCACCAAGCAGAGGCACAAGTGAGTTCTGCCCCTGGCAGGGGACCAGGCAGGATCAACCAACCAGTGGCCCCATCTCCCCACTTCCACTTCTGGAGATTCCTGGGAGTGAGTTGGGTCCACACAACACTCCTCTTTTCAGTGTGATACAAAGAGACATGTGGTCACCAGGAGTGACTGTACCTAGACAAGTGAACAGATATAATGTGGTCACACACATGTGGTAACACATACACATGTAGACACAGACACAAATCACACACACACACACACACACGCACACAGACTACAGTCTCCACTGCCAGCTGGGACGAGCCCAGTAGCCAACAGACATGCAGCAGGGTAAGGGTCCAGAGAGATACAGAGACTATGTACAGGGGGAGGTAAAGACCAGCAGGTCCCCTTCCCACACCTCCTCCCAACCTCTCATCCTGAGTGAGGTCCTTAGGAGCATGAGGGGCTGGTGGCACTCTCCAGGGAGGACTGGGATAGGCGCCTGGTGAGGGATCCAAGTGTGGAGTCTGCCACAGAGGAGGTGGGGAAGAGTTTGTACCAGCCGGTGACTGCAGCGCTCAGATCCAGCTCGTCCAGCATGATCTGGGCCATGCCCATGAAACACTTGTGGTCCATGCGACCATAGTCTCCCCAGACGATCACCTGTTGGCAAGGGAGGAAGGGTAAGGAGCTGAGCTACATCCTGAGCTCGAGAGCTGGGCAGTGGGCCTGCCCAGGAACCTACAAGTTTTGGTAGGGGATAAATGGGACAGAGGAAGCCAAAACTCAGGCCAATTTTAGAGAACAACTTTCTGAGCACTTAAGACATGCCAGACTTGATCCTGTGCATGACGTGCACTACTTCAATTGTTCTAACAAGCCTTGTGGTGAAGGGCACAGCATATTACGATTTCTACTCAGAGAAAACTGTGATGCACTAATGCAGAGATATATGGCAACTCATAAGTTATGGGGTTAGAACAGAGGTGTGTCTGCCCCAGGCTTCCCAGCATCCTGGTCAACACTGTCCCCAGCAAGGTGTAGATGAAAAGCCCTGGTCATGGCTCCAGCACTGCTGTGGACTCACTGGGCCTTGCCTAAACCCTTGGCTCTCAGGGAATCTCAGCTATGACTCTGGAGATTTTCAAACTTGTATTTTCAAACACCCAACACCAAGCCCCTTGCCCAAGAGCCCCAGGGTTCTGCAGTTCTCAGGTTGGACATCCAAGGGCTCTCATTCCAGAACCACCTCAGCCCACAGGAAGAGCCTGTTATGGTTTGGATAAATGTCTTCTCAGATTCGTCTGATAATAGTTTAGTCCCCAGAATGGTGCTCTTGAGAGGTAGTGGGAACCTTCAAGAGGTGAAGCCTGAGAGGAGGTTTTAAGCCAGTGGGGGTCAGACCTCAAAGAGGGCCATGGGGCCCTCCTGATCTCCTCTTTTCTCTACTTCCCAGCTGCCACGAGGTGAGCAGCTTCCTCTCCTACTGCCTCCCACTGTATGTCCTGTCTCACCACAGACCCAGAAGTGACAGGACCAACTGACCACGGAGTAAGCCTCCTAAATTGCATCAAAATAAACCTTTACTCTTTTTAAGCTGATTTCCTTAGGTATTTTATTACAAATAGGAAAAAGACTAACAGCTCAAGTGAGAAGTTAGGCATCCCAGACCAGCCTGGCTCTCATCTCTTTTCTGCCCCTTCTGTGGCCTCAGGCAATGCCAAGAGCCATACCAGCACCAAAATTAGTACTCAGCAAGTGGCAGCCTACGTGCCAGGCACCAGGGTTAGGCCCTCTGCGGCAACCTCTTGATCCATCTCTACAGCACATCACCCACAGCCAGTGAATGGCAAGCTGGACTCTGAACCCAAGAATGAGCCCAGAGTTAGATCCACCACAGTGCTGTCTGCCCACACAAGCTCTGGCTTTTCAATGTCACAGGGGTATGATGGAGCCTGAACCTGACTTCACTTGATGGCTGTGAAGGCCTGATACAGTGTGCCCTGGGGCTCTGTCACTCTCAAATACTTGGAATGAGAGTCACCTAGTTACTTGTTGAAAACTCCAGCCCCAAATATCTAACAAAAGCCTGGCTCCCTGCTGAAGCACAACGAACATCGGCACCAGGGAGTCAGACACAGCTGGCAAGTGCAGCCTGGGGAGCAGTTTCATCATCCCCTTAACCTTGGCTCCCTTATGAGTCAACAAGGGACAAGAGCACCTCATAGGGTTGTGAAAATAGGCAATGCAAACTAAAGCACTTGGTACAGCGCTTGACAGAGGATGAATCACAAATGAAAAGCATTTAAATGATTCCAGTCTTTGAGTGGCTGCCCTGCCCAACTCCCCCTGTAACACGCACCTGCAGCACCTTGCCATGGGGCCCTTCTTCAAAGAGCAGAGCCTGCTGGTACACAGGGTCACAGGTCTTCTTGGCCATCTTTGTCTTCTTCTTTGCTAAACAGGCTCCATTTTCCAGCAGGTAAGCCTTGATATAGGTGGCTGAGGGGTGAGGGAAAGTATGGGGAGCTTCTACGAGCAACAGCTATGACCTGCCCCATCCCAATCTCCAGGTGATCCTGGAGGTCAGCAGGTGAGCAGAATGAGCTGATCAGTGCAGAGGAGGCAAAAGAATCCAGATAAACCTTGATCCCTCTGGCCTCCTCTGCTCCCACTTCATTCACTGCCCTCCAACCAAGCTGTGACTTCGCTGTCAAGAATACTGATTTAGACCAATGAGCTGGGCATGTGCTTCCTCTAGAGCTCGGCTCAATACCCTCCCTTCCAGGACCCCATTTCCTAAGTCCCTCTCCCAGCTGCTCACCTGGGAGGGATTTGGAACTTGGCTTGGGAGTCAGGCCCCGAGCTTCAATGACTTCCACCTCTAGCTGGCCACCCCTGTCCATGATGGTAATGTGCACATCTCCTGCAGGGGAAAAGAGGAAGCATTCAGGAGAGCAGGGAAGGGGAAGACCAGCCAGCTCCAGAGAGGATGCTACAGCACCCGCAGAATGGAGCCAACTTCTTTGGTTGGAACTGCGCCTGGGGGACCACCTCCAAGAGACCCAGAAACACTCTGATAGGTCTAATGGGGAAGGTGGCGCATGACCTTCAAGGAACATGCTTAGGTCACAAAAAAATGGCTGCCAACTCCCACCTAAGTCTGGCTGACTGCAGGCTTCTGTTTCACTGAGCAGAACAGGAAGGGTTGGGGACAGGTTTCTGGGTCAGGAAGGCTGTAGACTCTGGCTTGCCATTTTCCCCTAACCCAGCAGTCCTCAGCTACTTCCCTTAATAGGTCAGACAAATACTGAAAAGTATCAGAGCAAAGAGATGCCAAGTTATGGGCCAGCCCAGGATATGAGGCACTACCTGGACATGGGGGCCACTTTGAACCATTGCCAAACAAGCGAGGGTGGGAGCCCCTGATTGACAGGAAAGAGCTCATTGTGTTCCCTTAAATGGACCATCCAGTGTGGGCAAGGTCTGTGTGTGTGGAATCTGTTGCTAATTGATTTCCAGGAACTCTTAGCTTTCTTCATCATGGATTAGCAGAATGTTGTGTGGTATAGTAGTCACTTCAAGACTGTGGAGAATTATAAGCCTGATCTAGAAAACCAAAATGAGCCAGACTTTGGGTTTAGTCACCCACCACGGATTCTCTGAGCCACAATACAATTGTCCATATATTCATGCTGGAAGGACTAGGATTTACTAATTCCCAAGAGACATCTTGGAATTCACTCTCCTCCCTCTAGGATTTTGGACCTTTTCTTAGGAGGGAGAGTTCCATTATGGCATCCCTAACCAAGTTATCCTGGGCCAGTGGATTAAAGGGCCTGCAAACAGGCGCAGGGGCCCAGCGTTCCATCCCTTGGCCTGCTGTGCCGGCCCTGCCCCCAGGACATGCTGAGATGGCAATTGAGACTGGGTGTGGTGTCACGCGTGCCTGTAATCCCAGCTCTTGGGAGGGTATAAACAGGCAGATCACTATGAGTCCAATCTAGTAGTGAAACCTTGAACACCCTTTGACCCTTCCCTGAAATACAGGGGGAAAAAAAGTTGCCCTGTCTCAGTTTGGACACAAGGGGGCACTACACTCAAGTGTTCTGCAAAAGTACGTGTAGCTGGTTTTCTCACTGCTGCCCACTTTGTAGCTAGATCTAGGACAGGGAAATGCAAATTCTCCAGGCCTTTTGAGCCTGAAAACAAAGCTGGGAATTAGCCAAGTCCAACATAAGAGCCAGATAAGAGCTGGCCTTCACTCTCTGAAGAAGATAGGGTAGTTCTGGGAAAGGATCCTGCACTTGCCTTCCTCCATTGCTAAGAGTCAAAGACTGAGCCCTGTCCATATGAGTGCTGAGTGGAGAGATGTATATTAGACAATGCCCAGGCCAGACTGGTGTGGAAAGCAGTGGAGGTTGAGGAGGCCCCTCTGGGAAGGCAGCCCAGGGAGGAGGAGCCTCTTAAAGCCCATACAGCCAACATCTAAGAGAGGGAGCTGAGAGTTCATGCAATGAGCCAGACTGCTACTAAGAGGACTAGGTATAAGCTTCAAGAATTCTTTTCTATTGCAAGGAAGAGGGATGAGAACATTACCAAAAGGCTTCTAGGTGCCTTCTACTCCAAACTCTGACTAGTGGTGTTTATATATCAAGTGGTATTGACTGTACAGTGAGGGAAGGCAGGGGGTGTGCTGTGACAGGTGCTGAGGGCAGTGGACAGAGAGGTTGGACCCTCTTTCCTCCTAGTGAGTGCTCTGGAAACTCCTCATTGGCACCAAAGCCCAAGGAACAGCTCCCTTCTGCTGCCTGCTTCCAGCACATGGAGACTCCCATGGAGCTTACCCTTCCTGCTGTGGCCACCATTATCCCGACTCTGCCCTCAGGAAGACTCACCCATGGGAGGTGTTGCCAGTGTCTGTCGCCCCACAATCTGCGCTGGTCCCAGCCCATCCAAGAAATCACTGAACTGGCTTTCAGCTCCGAGCCGGGTGGTGGGGAAGATAAACCTGCAGGAGGAGGCAAAGAGGCATGTAAGGGTGTCTGTCTAGGCAGCTTTGTGGTGGGGGCAGTGTGTACAGGGGCTGTGCACCTATGACACTGGGGCTCGCCCTATGCCTCAGTTGCTCCTCTGTGCAGTGTGAGCAACCTACTCTGCAGATAAGTTATTTTCTGCATATTGAAAAAAAAACATTTTGATGTTCTAAAGACTAATATAAATCACACAATGATGGCATATAAACCATAAACCCCAGGAATTCTGAGAGGACTCTTAAAAGGTAAGACTTGCTGGACACCTATGTCCTCAACAGATGTTGATGCCAGAACCAGACAGACAAGAAACTTTAATGCCTGGAGCCAGCTGCAAGAACTGAGATTTGACTTGACCATAAATTTAAAATCTAAGTCAATAATGTAAGGTGATGCCCAGAACAGAAACTGAAATGAAAATAACACAATTATAGGGTTGAGACGAGTTGGACAAGATGGTTGGTGGTCCATGGTTTTGGGGGGGCCTGAAAATAGTAGTAAGAAAAACTGACGGTGACTCAAAGTTGGCCAGGTGCCTACCATGCATTAAGTATTCCACGTACATTATGTCACTTAGTCCTTACAACCTCCTAGGTGATTGGGAATATTACCCAACTTTACAGATGACAAGGGAGAGGTTCTAGGAGATAGCAGACTTGGTTTGCCTGCAAACAGAGATAACGCCCAACTCACAGACTTGTGGTGAGGATTGTGCAGATGGTGAGGAAAAGTTTTGGACAAACGGGAAACAACAAATGGTAGTTATTATTGTTACTGCTGCTGCTGTTGTCACCAAGGGACAAGTGCTTCTTGCTCATGTCCTCAAGGCTAGATATTCTGGGTGTGGCTAGCAGAAAAAGGACAGATGAGAGTACTTGTCAGAGATCCTGTGTCTTTATGCCACTAGGCTCAGCATCCACTCCCCACCTAGGGGCTTCAAGGCACCAGCAATAGCCTGGTATCACATTCTTTTTTTTTTTTTGTATTTAGGACAGGGTGTACAGGGTCTCACTGCATAGCTTAGACTCTTAGTGATTCTGTTTACAGCCTCCCAAGTGCTGGGATTACAGGCCTGTGCCACCATGCCCAGTCTCAATCCGCCCAGTTCAATAACTGTCTGAGTGGGTGGGGCCTGGCAAGGTAGGCCCAGGGTTTGAACTCCTGGCCCTTGGCTCTGCCTAAGCAGGCACTTTAATCCACTGACCTATCTGGCCAGCCCTTGGAATCACATTCTTAAGATAATGGGATCTAAGAAAGATAAAGAAAAGATATGTACTCTACAGCTCACAGAATTTGGAGAGCTTTATAGCTTTACATGTGGAGATTGTGAATAAAAGTTATAGAGTCAAATGACCTTAATGCACATACTGACCACACTGCCACTTAACAACTATGACCTTGCATGGGGTTTTCTCTCCTTCTGTGCCTGTTTCCTCACTTGTAGATAAAGATAACAATGATACCCATGTGCCTCAGGTGGCTGCAATTGTGAACTTGGTTCTGGGGCTGATTCCAGTATAAGAATCATTGATCTGAGGTGCCCACAGATACGGGGCATGTGATACGGTATATGAAATGCTAATGGCTACTTCCATTCATGGGATGTACAGCGGGTCTCTGTATCCAGGGGTTCTGCATCCACAGATGCCATCAACTGCAGGTGAAAAATATTAAGAAAAACAAATGCATTTACTTTTTTTCTTGTCATTATTCCCTAAACAATAAGTCTTACAGCTATATAGGTAATCTAGATGTGATCCGAAGCCTATTGGGGGAGCTACGTGAATGCTGTGCCACTTTATACAAAGCGCTCGAGCTTCTGTGGATTCTGTGTTGCACGTGGGTCTTCATGCTGCCACCCACAGAGGCCGACAGCATGATCATTGAATGTTACGTAATGGGACCACAGAGGCCTGGGATTTGATGAAGCAGAAGCAGAGAACTTAGTCATAAACTACAGTTTCACAGACTTAGGAGAGGGACTGAGGAATAGTTAATGCAGGGACTTTCAATTTTTTCTTATAACTCACATGTAAGAAAAAAATTAACACCATGATGCACTAGAGACCTATGTGTTTCTATAAATCAGAAATTAAAATCAAAATTCACAAGATCATTTGTCCTTACTACATAGGATATACCTGAGCTTGCTTGCTTTTTCTAATGCTGATTTTGACTCACTATAGTAATTTTCCTTCCTATCATGAGTCAACAGCGATAGTTTGAAAGTCACAGATTGAATCCAATCTCTTTCCCTAACTCCAAGCAAGGCTACTTGTGGAAACCTCACTCATTTGAGCCAGGACAATGATTTCAGACTTAAGAGGAAGTTAGGATCATATTTTCCTTTTCCCCCTCTTCTCTGGAACAGAGCAGTATGTACGTAGCAGGAAGAAGAGGCATGTGTCCTTCCCTGAAGGAATTAAGTGATCCCCAACCTCTGAGTTATTCTAAGGCAAGCAATAAAGACCTGGGACCCAAGCACAGGATGTGTAGGGGAGGGGCCATGGGCAGCAGAGGCATAGAGAAACCTAGACACCTCAGATGCAAATACACAAGCAGATCTTGCTGCCCTGGTGGGCTGTGTGAGGGCAAGGAGGAGGGCAGAGCTGGCCAGGGTGCACGCACGTGCCATCGGAGCTGTTGCTGTTTGTGCTCCCATCCGTGGATTCCCGGCTGCCCTGACGCGTGACTCTACTCCGCATCTCCACCGCAATGCCTGTCTCCGTGCTTCTTCGGATGTTACTCCGCAGCTTCTTGGTAGCCCCTTCTGGGAGCCCCAAACCCAAGATGAGAAAGAGAATAAGGTAAGGTCACAGCAAAGGCTTCTCATAGAGTACTGCCACTTTCACCTCTGGGCAGGGGCAGGCAGTCCAAGATAGGACCAGAGGTAGGACTGTTGTCTGGCTGAGCCAAGAGCTGGTCTGCAGCCTGACACTTTGTTGTGTATAGGCCACTGACATACACAAGGCAGACTAGAAAGATGGCTGGACACAGACTGAGGGTGCTGGAGTTGGGGGCAGCTGGAACAACCGGGGAGAATCCCAGCCCTGGGGCCCTGGGGCCCTGGGGCCCTGGGGCCCTGGGGCACTGGGGCCCTGGGGCACTGGGGCCCGTACCCTTCTTCCCACCAGGCTCCTGAGGGTACCTTCCCAAACCACTTCAGCTCTTGCCCCTAAAACGTATGTATTCTTCTTCCCTCCATCTTCTGGATAATCTGTCTTCCCTAGGGTTCCCAGGCTTACTTTTCCTCCTCCAGGTACTCTCAGGACACCATCACATCCAGACCATACAACCCACCTCTTTGACACCTTCCCACACCTTATAAAAACCCATAGGAAGCCTGGCCACTTGAGCAAATTTGCCTTGTCAAGATGAATCTATACAGGGAGAGGAATGAGTCTGGTGAGCTAAAGAGGCCTTCAGAGAACAAGACTGAGAGGAGCTGCTAGCTGGACCTGAGCTGATTCTGGCTTTGAGAGAAAGGAATGCAGAACAGTGCTAGAGGCTCGCAGTGTGTGCCCACCCCTTTGCATCCTGTCCAGAGAATGCTGGCCTGGTCTGGCAGGGAACATGGGGCACTTTCCCCTTCCTAGCAGCAATCATACAACTTGAGTTTCTATAGCAACTCCTTAGCATCACAGTGTGGTCCCTCTGGGGAATGTGTTGGGGCTTTGCAGGGACTTCCCTTGCTGAAGCCTACCTGCCACAGGAGCTTGCTGGGGAGGAAGGGGTACTCAGTTAGGAACTGCACTGAAGAAGCCATTTGCTGTCACTGGTTAAAGGCTCAAGCAAATTAACAGTGGAGTTGCCTTCAGGGAGAGGAGAAGGGTGGGGAAGGAGGACTGGGGTGGAACAGGTGACACAGCCCCTGGAAGCAGTGGGAAAGAGGTAGCTTGTCACCTTGATAATCTTTTCCTGCCCAAACAAAACAGTTCATTGTGAGGAGGGTACCTTATTCCTCCTGCTTTGCCTTACTGATCTTTCAGAAAGTCTCTACTGGGCGGCTGGAGGGAGAGGTGCTGAGAAGGCTAGGATCACCAGTCAATGGGATAGCAGAGGGGAGGTGATGGGATAGGGTTGAGGGTGGCCATAATAAGAACTGTCTTCTCTAAAATCAGCTCAGTTTGGGGCATATTTGAATAGCTACCGTATTCTGGAATCAATGACACCATTAATACATCTGTCTGACTGTCTGTCTCTCTTTTTGTCACACACACACACGCATGCACACACACACATATTTTAACTATATATTCCTTTAATACAGACAGGCATAAGCAGATAAATGTGAGTGCTGTTAGTCACTATATGAATATAATCGTCACACAAAGTCCTGAGTATGTTTATACAAAGTCACAAGGTTGTAGATGATCCGGCCAAGTCTTTGTAATGTGTATACATGATGTACTCTGTCATGAAGTCAGGTCACATACATGTGTACAGGTCTCACTATACAGCTTGGACTCATAGTGATCCTCCTGTTTTCAGCCTCCCCAGAACTGAGATTACAGGTGTGTGCCACCACACCCAGACTCAGTGGCCAGCTCAGCACACCCGGAGGCAGGGCCCGCACAGCATGTGGTACCAGGGGTCAAACCCCAGTCCCTGGGCTTGCCTAAGCAGGTGCTCAGTCTGCTGAGCTATCTCGCAGGCCCTTACATGTGTTCTTTAAACCAAAATACTTGGAATTGAATTCATCTGCTTAATTCAATGTGAATTAATACACATGCAATGAAGCAAGTCCACACATCTGTGACCTGCCACACACATGGACAGCTGGATAAAAATGGTGGCTGTGGGAGGACTCTCCTAACAGCCACACTCCCTCTAGTGGACTTAGAAGACAGATGGGCTGTGGGGGCTGCAAGTCGCCCTCCCTCCCCTTCATATCCCTACAACCTTAACACATGCTCTTAAAGCTTGGAGAAGCTCTGACCCATTTGGAAATGAATTTACCTTCTTAGATAAGACCTATGCAACCCAACATGAGTCTTTAAATAGGAGAGTTACAGAATCCTTGAAGAGGTAAAAATAGTGCACTAGCCCCCTACACTTCATAGATGGAGGATCTGAGGTTCAGGTATCAAAAGAACAAGGACTCCACCCAGGCCTGTAGACTGTCAGTCTGATGATGTGCCGCTTCTCTTTCCCTCCCAATGCCTATCTAGTTGAGATATGATTCAGCAGAGATTATGCTCCATGTTTTCAAGAGAGGAAAAAGGTCTTGCAACCTCAGGAAAAATTCCTCTATTGGCTTTATATTTGTCCAGACTCTTGATTCTGGAAATAACTTTATGTAGCTTCTCTCTAGAGAGCCAAGCAAAACTTCCTGTAATAATTTTGTGGTTCTAGAGATATAAGGACCCCAGGAATCATCCATCTGTCCCTTCACATATAAGGAAGGAGTAGTTGCAGCTGTAGCAACAGCCACACAGCATCTTCTGGAATAGTCCTGATCTCCCTGTCTTCTCAGAGCCTAAAGGACCCTAGAAGGGAGCGTTGCTGTCCTTGATCCTGAAAGGACAGGAAGTTGTCGCTTTAGCTTCCTTTTACAAAAGAAGAAACTAAAACTCAGCAGAAAATGACTTTCCAAAGTCCCATAAGAAATTTCAGAGCCAGGGGCCGGAGAGATGGCTCAGTAGAATAAGGGCTTGCCTGGCAAGCATAAGAGCCTGAGTTCAATCCCCAGTTCCACAAAAAATAAAGTAAAATAGAAATTCCAGAGGCAGGTGTAGCCCTCTAAAGCACCTGAGTGAATTTCTGAAAGTCTACTCTGGGACAAAACAAACAATAAACTTGAAGGGCCAGTCAAGCAGGGGAACTAAGGAGAAGGCTGATAACAATGGTTAGGCTAGTTATGCGGCCTGAAGCAGGAGAGAGGCTTTCAAACAAAGAGATGGGCAGGGCTTTAATCAATGCAGGCTATAAATAATCTAAGAGAAAGGGGACTTGTGGGAAGGGCAGAACCACAGCTCAGAAAGCCAGGTCTAGTAGAGGAATTCCTCCAGACTCCACATAGCCTATCCCTGCAGGGAACTAAGGCATCCCATTTGGGGACAGCAAAGGACATGCTTCTGGGACCTGTTCCCAGAACAGTGACTCTAGGGCCAACATCCTTGGTGAGCCAGCCCTACACATCCCTGTGGTATGACTCCCACCCAGGAGGAGGTTGAGGCTGGGACACTGACATCCTCAAGTCTTGGGAGAAAAAACAAAACAAAAACACAGAAAAATATAATTAGGAAAGGAGTGCATTACAAGGAAGAGACAGGTGTAAAGTCCAGAGAATTTGTTTCTCTCTCAGCTGTACTATGTGACCATGCATAACAACAGCATCAAAACTTCATTGAGTAGCTCCCATTTGTCAGGCATGAGGATGCCTGCCTTTGCATATGTGGCCTCATTTAATCCCTAAACAACTCAAAAAGGCATATATCACTGTCCTCATTCTACAAATAAGAAGCAGGATCAGATGATCTCTGCCTTGATCACCCTGCTAGTAAGTAACAGAGGGTGGCTTTGAAGGCCAGCCTAAGATCATCCTCCAGGAGAGTCCTTTTTTCCCAAGGTTTAGATACTTCATGGATAAATGAGTACATCAAACTGAATGACCCCAAGAGGCCCTTCCTGCTCTGACATTCAACAATTAGATGATTCACAGGGATCTGCAGTGAGAAGCACATCTGGGTGGTTTCCCTGGCCCCTGGCTCCGGGCCTTCAGTCATGCCCTGACATAATTGTGGAGCCCAGAGATCCAGAAGGCCAGCATCATTCATCTCTTCCTAAGGCAAAAGGTCTTCCTGGCATCTGCTCCCATCCCTCCTGTGGTCTATGAAAACTACACTGCCTTGGCTGTGAAAGACTTCCCCTCCCAATTTGGGGTATGAGAAGCCTTCAGGTGTGAGGCTGGGTTTTTGTGCATGTTCTCTGAGGGCCAGATTGCTGGGGTTTAACAGCTCTATGACTACCTAATCTTTTTTTTTTTTCTTCTTCTTCTTCTTCTTTTTCAACTTCATAATCTTAAACCCCTATCTGTAATCCCTTGGTCCTATCCCAGGTCTCTTTGTCCAAGCCCAAGTCCTGGACCCTTAACCCCCACTTTCCTGAATCCCTGGTCTTAGGCTTGTACCACCCCCCAAGGCATTAGTAACAGCAAGCCCCTTCCCCATCTCACCTCTCCTAGCCAGGATGCACATCACAGCTTGACGCTGGAAAAGACCATCCAATGTGCTCCTGTTGAGGGCTTTGTAAAAATCTATTTTAAGGCCTGGAAAAGTCCCCTACCCAGCCCCCAAGGGAGAGTCTTGATGAACATTCTCCCAGGTCCTCCAGTGACCTGGCCTCCTCACCACCCCCATCCAGCTGCCTATCTGAAGGCTTCATGGGGAAGTTGTTACACTTAATAAAATAAGCAGGATGAGATTTTAAAACAAAACCAGCTGGTTTCTGAGCCAATGCCACAAAGCAAGGGGTCTCGGTATGGGGGGCTGGCTCCTCTGTGACATGGGGTCTGTGTGAAGCTGGGTACAAGGCTAGTGCCCCAGCAGTATGAACATAGCTGAGATTCTGCTGCTAGATGGCTAAAAAAATATATGGCATTCATGAGGATATAGCTATTAAGGTGCATGTGAGCATGGCCCCTTGTCATGTGTGACATGTTTGTGACCTAGATTTGCAGTCTCTACTCAGCAGATTGTGTTTTTTGGTTTTGTGACCATGTACAGTATGAACAAGAATTACTGTATTGTGATTTCCTGGCAATATGAGTGACTTACCTGGGCAACTGAGCATCTATTTATGTAACTGTATCTTTGTATGTCTGTCTTGTGACTCTGATATTAATCTGCATGAATAAGTGACTGCATTTGTGTGGTGATTTGTACTAAGGAGACTAAGAGATGACAGGTGAGAATGAATCGTGGGGATACGTATGTCTGTAAAACTGTAGTGTCACTTAGCATAGTGCCAGGAACACTGGGCTGTTTAATAAATAATTACTGTTTATCAAAGACTTATATAAGTCTCTGTGTGTAGGCAGAGTATAAAATACACAGCCTGAATGAGGAAACCCACCTGCTAGTGCTTGATGCCAGGTTACACCTACCCTGGCTGTGTACCCTGGGGCTTGTGACTTTCCTTGTCTGTGCCCCAGTGACTGCCTGAAGTTAACTGTACTAGATCTACAATAGTGCCAAGCCTTGTAAATTAGAAGCCCTATATAAGTGGGTGTAAGCTGACAGGGCACACTCATCAGGTGAATCCCTGGGTACTTATTGCAAAGAGTTCCCCACTCCTTCCCCTTGGTGTCCTGTGCCCCAGGCCCCCTCACCAGGTTGAGGAAGCTGGAGTGTGCTCTTGCTCCACTGAGTCAGGCCCACGATGGCCACCATCTTGGCACCCAGGCTGCTACGTCGCTTCTTGGCGGTGGTGGTCCCAGTCCCACCCCCAGTTTGCTGGGATCCGCAGATTTCACCACTGATGCTGGAGCTCCGAACCACATTCCTGGGGGCCCCAGCTGAGGCTGGACCAGGCTCCCCGTTAAACATGGTCCCCAGGGCTGCAGGGCCTCAGGCAACTCTGAAAGTAGGTGGGAGATAAAAGGATTCCACATCAGACTCCAGTGACCTGACCATGGCCTGCCACTTCTACCTGTGTGATCTTGAGCAAGTCATTTAGCCTCTTTGATGCTAACAATTAAATGAACAAATAAATCTCAAGGGTACACACAGGGTCTAGCTTAATAAATGAGACTATTCTTATAAGCATGCAGCTATGAAAACTGGCAGGTGATCTGGTTTGGTGGTGAAGATCAAGGCTGTGGAGTCAGATGGCCTGGGCTTGAATTCCAAAGGCCCCTACATACTTGCTGGGTGATGCTATGACCAAGCATCTTGGGGTTTCAGGAAAACAATTCAGAAAAATGAGAAATGAAAGACCTTCCTTCTTAGGATTATTGCAAGGATTAAATGAGATAGTGCAGGGAAAGTGCTGAGAATAGTGTCCATGCACAGAAAGGCTACTGAGCATGTGTTGCAGATGACTACTTCTACAGCAAATAACAAAAGGAGGGGAACAAAATAGCCTCCAGCCTGTGCAGACTGTGGAAGGGATGGATTCTCCTAGGGGAAAAGGAATGGTCCAGAAAATCCCAAACCAGCAGGCAAAAATCACCCTTCAGTGCACTGCTGAGAGGCAGTCAATGTCAGCATTTTAACCCAGTGCTTTCCAAACTCCTGTACATGCACTCAAAACAACAATTGGACTCATACTGAAATGCAACTTTTGTATCCTGATATTTTTCATCTAATATTTTGTCATAAGCATTTCCCAATGTCATTAACACTTTGTACAAATGTTTTAATGCAACCATAATCATCTGTTGTGTATAGGTAGAATAACTGACTTAAATATTTCAACATGGTTACCTCTTCTTCTTATGTATTTAGTACAGGGTCTACAGAGTCTCACTACATAGATCAGACTCACAGTGATCCTCCTGTTCTCAGCCTCCCAAGCCCTGGGATTATAGGCATGCACCACCACGCACAGTCTCAGTCAACATCTCAGTGCTCCCTGGGGGCGGAGCTGGCAGGGCATGCCTGGGATCGAACCCCAGTCTCTGAGCTTGCCGAAGCAGCGAAGCAGGTGCTTTAGTCCACTGAGCTATCTGGCCAGCCCCTAACATGGTTACCTCTTGAATCAACTCCAAGTCTGTCTCTTCTTCTCTTCTCTTCTCTTCTCTTCTCTTCTCTTTTCGTTTGTTTGTTTTTTGCTGTACGGGGGATCAAACTCAGGACCTTGCACTGCCCAGGCAGACACTTATGTCACTGAGTTATTTCACCAGCCCTTCTTCTCTTTTAAATAAACACTGAAATAAACATTTCTCTACACTGGTTTGTAGGCTCACATCCTTAGACTGGCTCTGAGAAATGGTCAGATAGAAGAGTATGGTACTTCTGGGAGATCCCTTCCTGATGTCTGGCAGAGAACTGGTTTCATCAGGTGCTACCCTGTGCCTTGCTGCAGGGACAGATCTTCATGAGTTTAAGGCCATCAAGGAATTACTTTCTCGTTAGCCACTCTCACTTACCTAAAGGTGGTCATATGCTTAAGTCAGCTCTGTTCAGCTTAAGAGAATGGTCTGCATTCCACAATTAAGGGAGAAATTGGGGAAAGGCTTTTTTTCTGTATTCCTCTCTCTCCCTTCCTCCTCCAAGACCCCATCTGCTACATGGGGCCCATCCTTAGGGTGCAGCCAGTGCATAGACCCAAAAGACTTCAGGCCATACTTGAACCCGCTTTCCTCTGTTCTTCTACATATGTATTTTCCATTGCTTAAGCCAGTTGGAACCAGAGTTCTCAATTATATTCTACCTGACACTGAGGGAATTTTTTTTTCTTTTTAACCTTGGACTATATTGCCAAATTCTATCCAATGTATAGAAATTTACTCTCCTCATTAGCTCTGTTCAACAAATATTTAATTTCCTAAAATCCAAGGCCAATGCTAAATGCCAAGATATTGTATAGTAGTGAGCCAAGAAAACTGGGTGCTGCCTTTCCAATGCCTTCCAGTCTGGCAGGGCAGATAGACAATAAGTAAGTGTCTAAATGTACACTTAAACATTTAATGGTGGGTGTGGAAAGTGCTAGGAAGAGAAGGACAGGGGCTCTGAAGTCCACTCTGTAGGGAGGCACCATCAGCATGTGAGGCACTTCCAAGAGGATGAGGTCTCCAGGTGTTAGCTTCTATAACTTGACTGCAAAACCTGGTGCTGCAGTCAGTCTCCCTGGCTCAAGTAGAAGACAAGAAAGCCACTGTTCCAGCTGCTCAGCACCTAGAGCCCTCCTGGCTCTGTCCCAGCCCTGTCTCGAGCCCTCTTCCTAGAGCAGCTGTGCAACCCTGAGATAAAGGCACATAGCTGGACCTTCTACCCTCAAGCTTACCCCTGAGGGAGTCTCACTTTTCAAAAGAACATAGAAAGGGGCAGGAATATAGGATTAGGAGAGGCACTACTCTGGCTGCTGAGAAAGACAGCCCCCTGATTCTGAGACTCGTCACCTGGTCTCTCTGCAAACATAGTTCCTGTAGCCTGGTGTATTAAGGCTGACAAGGCAGATGAGTCAGAGCCCTGCTTTACCATCTTTGTAGCTCTCTGGGTAGTTCTCACTCACCCTATGACATCATCAGAGCCCCAGATTATATTTCTCCACCCTCCCCTATCAACCATGTAGCCAATGGAAAGTCCCCCTGGACTTTGGCCTACGATGATCCTTTCTCTTTAGTTTCCAATTCTAGTGCCAGTTTATGTGGGTTTTTAGGTATCTGCATAGCCTTTTGGTGGAAGATGGGACAGGACTTATCTGATACTGTGAATCTGCCATAGTATCAGTATAATTTGCTCTTTATAGCACTTTAGAATGTATGTAGGTATCTTCACAAGGTAGATGAGAAAACTGAGTCTCAGAGGAGTGTCCTCCTCAACAGGAAGTGGCAGGGCTTGAACACAAACAGTCTTGCATTTCCACAAAGAGATGTACATGCTCAGCTGCCTTTGCCCCTTCAACCCAGAACTCATTCAAAGATGTGGGCCCATCCCTCAAGCTCTGGCTTTGACCTGGAACTTTAGGCTCTTTGAAAAACCTGCAAATAAAGTGCTTATGAGGAGAAAATTTACCCCCTCTGGTCCTAAATTCCCTCAGGTAGCTCAGCAGCTAAACTGAAGAACCCCCCTCCAACTCCCAGAACTTAACTGGAGAAGCCTCCATGGTGCTTGAGAGCACAAGCCCAGGGGTGAGACAGAATTCCTGACCCTGCCAACCTGGGAGTTCATGTTTCCTCATGAATAATGAGTGGAACTGATGAGCACATGGTTTGACATCCAGAACCCTACATTAGACAGAGCTATTTTATCATCTTCATGTCCCCAGAGATCACAGGGACCTGGAGGACTTACAAATTCTTGGGGCAGCCCAGCCTACAGTCTATAGGATGCCCCCAAGGGGAAGGAGGAATCAGAGGTCCTAGGCCCTGCCTTGTGCTCCAGGACTCTACAAAGGAAAGCCGGGGGGCGGGGTAGGAATCATGACGTGGAGTTAGAGTGTGAGCAGCCTTCATGTATATGTCTCTAGGCCTTAGCATCTTCATCTATGCTAACGGAAGGAGTCAGAGTAGGTTCTTTGGAAAAGTCCATTGGATTGAGAGAGCTGAGCCTGTGATGGCATGTCACAGTTGGTGAGGAAGGGACCCCTGATCTGGGGTTCTGGCTCCTTAATCTGGCAGCCAGTCTAGAAAGGTGAGCCAGAGATCTAGACAGATATGGCTGCCCTGCCCCTATAAGGACGGCAGCATAGCAACTTCGGAATCATCAGACCACGGGGATGGGAAAGAAGTGGCAGAGCTGGGGGAGACTGCTGAGAGGCATCCCATCAGGACACATAATACATGTCATGGGCCAGTGGTTCTATGTAGTTAGTAAATGAAACAAAGCCTTTCCATTAAAATCAGTTCAATAATTCCCCTGCCTCTGAGCAAGACTATCCCTTTCCCCACCTAGTTCATGGTACCTAGAACATGGAACCCTGCTACAGTCTTGCTAAGCCATGGGAGCTCACTCTGAAGTTCTGCCTGATGACTCTCATCCATTATTACAGCAGAAAAAGAACGTGGTTCTTGCTTATTCTCCAGGGAGCAGAATTCCAGGAGACACCATCTAAGCTTTCCTGCCAGAATTTCAGGTGACACGATTCAAGCTTCCTAACAATAAGCCTACATGGTTTTTTCTAGCCTGCAACATTTGGGCTCTGCCTGGGGTCTTTCTGCCCTAAGAGCTCTCCAAACAGGTCCCAAACCCTCCCAAGAGCAGGTTCCAGGCCTTGCCCAGAGCCCCTGGGTCCCTAGATTCCTCTGACCATGTGTCTACGCAGCTAAGGAACCTTTTCTGATAGTCAATGAAGAACCCAAAAAGCTAAGGTAAAGCCAGTAGCTCACCTTCTATAGGAAAAAATGAGGAATCTATAGTAAGTTGCTGGACTATTAGGTAAAAGCAGGCTGTGAACAACTGAAGCTTCTAAACAGTGTCCTGAAAACAGCTCATGACCAGTTCATGAGCTAAAACTGACTTGCCATCTCCATTCCAGCCTGGAATCCCACTAAGCAGAAAATCAGGGCCCCAAATAGGGAAGAGACATGACCAAGCTCACAGAGAATGCTGGGGGCCAAACCAGAGATCCAACCTGAGAGCCAAGGTCCCCCATCACTTGATAGTCTATTAGGTCCTTCCTCCCCACTCCTCACCTGGAAGAAAAACCAAACTCACCAAACTGATGATTCCAAGTATAGAGCTCTGCATCACCGGAGATTCTTCCCTTTGAACAGCACACCTCTAGGGCATTTGCACAAGGCTTCACTTGTCTTCTGCTGAGCCACTAGTCTCCAGGAAAGGAGGTAAAGGAAATCAAGACAGGCTCTCAGGAAGAAGTGATGTGATAAAAGATCTGGAAGGGAAAAGCTGAGCTCAGAGGAAAAGCTAATGAAGACATGTGTCATCAAGGGCTTCCAGCAGCCCTTGTAGAGTAAAAAGATGAAATAGCTGTGAGATCTTGAGTAAATCATTTTACCTTTCTAAACCAACCAACCAACTAACCCACCAAACTGAACTCCCAGGTCCCTTACTCTGGCTTTAAGTACTTAAGAGAGGGAGAGACGGGGGGAGGGGGAGAGAAACAGACAGACAGAGAGGCATAGAGGCAGAGAAAGAAGATTTCTAAGAAACTCTAGACTCTATTCTTTCACCAACCTCCCTCTGACTACTGGGGTCTAGATCTCTCCCTAGACACTGTAACATACCAGAAGTCACAATTGGGAGGAACTCCTGGCTCTGTCCCCAGCCATGTGGCCTTGAGAAATTGCTTCTCTGACCCTCCATTTCCTCTCTCTGAGTCTGACCACCACTTGGATTCCACCCAACCCTCCTAGGTGGACTGGAGATCAGATGAACCAGTAAGAAGCAAGAAAGCAGAGTGATAAAAACATGTGCTCTGAGGCAGACTAAGAGCAAAATCTAGATCTGCCTCTTACAAGCCAGTAATGGAGAGTTTCTCTATCAAACCCCACAAACCTACATTCCTCTTCACTAAGTGGAGATGACAACATATACTTTAGGAGACATTTTAGATACATATTATAAAATGAAGATTGGTACATGCTTAGTGACCAGTTGGTCTGGTACCCAGTTATTACTCATAATGGTGCCTTGTACATGGTAAACAATTGCCAGGTTTTAATTTCAATTCACCAAGAGCAATCACCTGAGGGGATGGCCCATAAGTTACAAGATGGCCCAGCAGTTACCCAGAATGAGGGTTCCAGTTGGTGTAGAAGGGCCCAGGAAGCTCTACCAGTCTTAGCTCCTAAACCTTTGTAGTATGCTGGGTCTGGAATTTGAGACCCCTTCCCTGTCCTAATCCTATCTGGACCCACATGGGAGGCCAGGGCCTACAGAAAGGGAAGGGTGAGCCTACAGTCCAGTCTTTCCTTTCACCACTTTGGGAGTGGTAGGTGGGTGATAGGGGCTGGGATGAGGTAGGGGAAGCAGTCTGGACAATAAAACATGCCCCTCCAGAATGAGGAGCACATACTAACCTCTGTCCTTACTGTGTAGACTTTTGTCTCCCCAGACTACCTTACATAGATATACACAGACACACACAGACTCACAGACACACATGCAACACACACACACACACACACACACACACAGCACTGCATTTCAAATATTCAATCATACATAACATGGATCCACATAGATAATATACACACAAAGACAAATCACACATGTTTACATGCCCCCAAGATACTCATCCACTCAAAGGTACACAGAAGCAACCAAACAGGCAATCAAGACAGCTACAGGCATTCAGATTCACATTTGCGTATACACTTGCATGAACTCATCTCCCCATGCCCAGGCAGAGGCAAGAAAAGCCCCATCACTACAGTGGCCAGGGAAGTGGGAAGCATCTTACCCAAAACCATGAGCTCTCCAGGCTGAGGTATAAACACCAGCTCTGAGCAGGCACCTGAACACAAACACTCGTATATGATCCGGATCCCAAACCCAATCTCCTGACCCCATCCCTGCAAGACCAGACAAAGAAGTGCATCGGTGAGGTTTGTGGTGAGGAGAGGAAAAGGCTGGCAGGGAGCAGCTGCTGTCACCATGGCTACCGGCTGACCCACTTCTCTTCCACCTAGGCAGGCCCACCCAGCCTAAACAAGGTGAGGACAGGCTGCTTTGGACAGGGTAGGCCCTCTGCCACCCTGCACAATAAAGAGAGGATCTCTGAGAGTATGGAGGGATGAACAAGCACCAGCTAGGCTGAGTTCCATGTAGGAAGGCATTATAGACAGACATCCCTAAGGGAAGCAGGACGCTAAAGACATGGCCTATGAAAGACCTAGCTTCTTCCAGCACCCAGGCCTATGGCCTCAGAAAGTCAGACAGGTCTGGATCCATCCTTAGTCATAGCTGTCATGCAGTGCTGCTGTGGGGTGGTCAGCACTATGTCTCCAGGCCCTAAGAACTCAGCACATCCAAAGCTGAGCATACCAGGCTGGAGGCCCTGTCTGGTTTGGAGGAAGGTTCTGAAGGTGAGGCCCATTCACCATCCTCCAACAAGGGACTGCTGGGGATAGGCTGTACCTCTTTCTCTGGACAGAACTGCCCTGTGCCTTCATATAGCCACAGGGCTTCCAAGAACATGGTTATGTGTCCTTAGCAATAGGGACTTAGAGGAACAATATGCCTTCAGAGTCCTCCATTTGAGAGGCGATGGCCTACAAAGCAAGATGAACTGCTTGTGTCTGACACTCTGTCAGAGCTCTCTAATTCACTCAGGACAAAAGAGACACCTCATATCATAGCCCCAACCCCATATGAACCAATGCCTGACTTGCTCTCCCAGGTCCCACCTCTTGTTCCTACTCTGTATTATAGCCACATGGTCTTTTCATTCTTAGAAAGTGCCACTTGGTCTTCTGTCTGTCTGGAATGCTCATATCCAGCCTGCCCCAGCCCTGTGCTCTATGGACAGCACTTGTCTGTCTGTCTGCCCTGCATGGATGATCCCTACCTTTCATTCATCTTCACTCAGGCCTAGTTTCAGGGTCATTTCTTTCTAGGCATGGTTATTCACTTCTCATGCTCCTCCAGAATTGTATGCTGTTCTTTTGTGCCAGGGGTTGAATGATGCCCTGTTCCCAACAAAATCCTGATGTCCTACCCTCTCAAACTTAAAATGTGGCTGTGGTTTAAAACAGGCTCATTGAAGATGTGATTGAGATTATGCTAATTCAACAGGGGTCCTTCAGAAAGATGGCCATGAAGCAAGACAATGTCATGTGACAACAGAGGCAGAGACTGGAGCCATGCAGCACCAAGCCAAGAGATTCCAAGGGTGCAGCTGCCACCCGAAACCAGGGCACTGGCATGAAGCAGGTTCTCCCTCAGCCTCCAGAAGGAAACAACCCTGAAGACACCCAGACTTCACACTTCCAGCCTCCCAAACTTCAAGGGACTAAATTTCTATCATTTTAAGCTGCCCAGTGCATGGTACTTTATTATAGCAGCTCTTAAAGATACAGATACTGTTATTCTAACTTGCTTGGTACCTGTCTCCCATTCCTCATTCCCTGCTATGAGCTGCTTAAAAATAGGAACCATGTTGTCTTCACCCTAAATCCCTGGTCAGGAATAGATCTGAACTATTTCAGGGATGAATAAATATTTGTTCAATGAATAAATGCCAATCAGAAACATTAAATTGGGGGCCAGCAAGATAGCTCAGTGGTCTAAAGCTCCTGCTTAGGCAAGCTTAGGCAATGCACAGGGACCGCAGTTCAATCCCTGGGACCACATGCTGCACCAACCCCACCCCCAGGGTGGGCTGAGCTGGTAAAAAAAGAAAGAAAGAAAGAAAGAAAGAAAGAAAGAAAGAAAGAAAGAGAAACGTTAAAGTAACAGTGCTTGTACCTGGAGAGAATTGTGAGTTATTTTTGTTTTCTTCATGATATATTGTGTTTTCTAAAGTTACTACTTTAGAAAGTATATTAATGTTATAATGGAAAAACAGCAATATTTTTCTTTTCAAAACATACACTAAAGTAATAGACCTTGCCACTAGTGTGTGCTCATGGACTGGGAAAAGTTATCAGCTATGTGTCTGATAAATGCTTTTTATTGATTAATTGATTTCTCCTCATGTTACTAGAGTGCTTTCTGGAGCCAGATTTACAGAGCTGAAACTATGTGGCCTCTCATGGTATGAATTCCAGGTTGGGAAGGGTTCAGGAAGGACACATGCTGAGCTTAATCAGTCTGCCCAGAGGTTGTACCCAAGAAGCCCACCCACAATGGCCAAAACCACACCCAAGCAGACACAAAAGCCTGCCCCTCAAAGAACACAGTTCCAGGGCTTCTTGAACTGAAATGTGCACACAAATCGCCAGGAATCTTGTTGAAATGTAGCTCTTGACCCCCAAGGGTCACAGGTAGAGTCTGAGGCCCTGAACTTCTCACAGCTCTTGGTGATGCTGCTAGTCACCACTCAAAGCACTGAGAAGCAAAGATAAAATACTCTGGTCATCCTGTAGAGGAAGAGAATATTTGTGCATGGGAGAGACTAAAGAAAGTGTCACTGAAGAGTTAGCTGCAGAGCCCTTGGAGGATAGGTAGGATGTGGAGAAGCAGATGTGGTTCTACAGGAAAGCAGTGGAACTACTGGGAAGTAACAGACAGTAAATGACGTGTTCAGAGGCTGGTGAACAGAGCTGATAAATTAGAGCAGAAGGAAAAGATAGTTGTGTGAGCAGGCACTGGAAAAGGGGGCTAAGAGCAGCCAATGAAGGGCTCTGAAGGTGGTGCCAAGAATCAAGGTTCTAACCCTGTAGGAGTGAAATCTGACAAGATTTAGGTATAATGTTTGACAGGGATCAGTCTGACAGTGCAGAATCAGAAGAAAGCTGAGAGCAGTGAGAACATCCAGAAGGCTGTCATAGCCATGCACATAGCAGGGACTGCCCTGCTTCTGATCTGACTGTTTAAAGAGAACAGGGTAGCCAGGCACCTAGGTGGGATTAGGGGATTATCTGTTAAAGGGACAAAGTTGGAGAGAGGGGAAAAAATAGAATGCAGGGCGAGTTATGGGAAGGATGGAGCTATGAGATTCTCATGGAAGAGCCTGATGTCCTGGAAGACAAATCTGGCTTAAGGACAAGATGATCCTCCTCTTAGTCACAGGTCTGAGATAACACTGCAGCTTTCACATGGAGATAGATGCAGGGCCAGTAAGCAGATCCACTGAGCGCAAGAGAGGTGGGTGAGTGGGCAGGCATTGAGTGTGTTCCCAGAGGGAAAAGTGGGGTATAAAAAGGAAAGGGAATGCCCACGGGGAAAGACAGATGAGGAAGGGGCAGGAGATAATACCTGAAATGAGAA